TATCTGCTAAGAGAGCATTTTCAGCTTTACAATTTATTCTAAGTGAACGACGGAATTGAATAAATACCCAAAGCACTCACTTTATCGGTCAATCGGTCTTTTAATGAGGGTCTCTGTGCGAAAGTCAATCATATCTCAATCATTATAAATCATTCATTATTATATATCAATCATTAAAAAAACTGTCAGTAGTATAGATTTTGTAAGATATCTACTAGCTCAGTCAAATTTTACCGTGCGTAACGCTGAATGTTATAGGAATTATATTCGCCGCTGACGGATTCAATTTACTTAGGATCCGAAGCAGTTATAACATCGGCAGTTTAACAAATTTGCAAACACTACTCTTGTTTTTATTAAAAGGTAGTCAAAAGAATTAGTGACCCCTAAATAATGACCTTTATATTATTAAAAGTGTCTTTGGTCCGTCCGATACTGGAGTCCGGCTCATGTGTCTGGAGTCCCCATTATGGAGTACATGCAGACCGCATAGAATCTGAACAAAATAATTCCTTAATATTTGCTCTTTGGAGTCTGGGATTCATCTTCCTTCGTATCGTAGCAGACTCTTAATTATAAACTTACCCCTCTTAACAAATCGTAAGACAAAGCTGGGTGTCGTTTTACTACACAACTAACACGATTATGTTGTAACGTTCCTAATAGAAGGATTAAACAGTTTAGTCCTCTATTTCTTAGCCTTTGTAGTTAGACCATATGGCTAAATTTTGTTCTGTAGATACAAATTGGGTATTGGAATAGTTAAGTAGGCATCAAAACTTTTTCAAATAAATTTTCGGAACTGCCACTATGTATATAATGATTTTATTTTTGAGGCCGGAAGTGGCGTTGAAAAACTTTGACAAAACACCAAAAATTTAAATCAAGCTTGACTTGAGCATATAATGTAGAAGACTTTTCGGTAAATCTTATTGCTCTATATTATATAGCAGGGGTGCCCAAGCTCAGCATAGGACAGAGCAAACTCGAATACCAATGAAAAAAATCACCAATACATTAAAGCTAGAAATTTTTTTTGCAAGTCATGTCGGTATACTGAAAAAAATTATAGTACAATTTTCAATGGAAAAAAGTAATACAAAAATATTTATGAAATAAAAATTAAAAACTGTAATAAAGTTATAAATAAAAGAAATTAATAGCTCAGATGTTAACCATTCTTTTTGAGATCTCAACCAAAAGTAATTTTTTGCAGTGAAAAGTTTTCGGTAATAAAAAAACAAAGTGCCTTCGTATTAGTACGAAAAACTGAGACACTATACAATTGTTGTTGCTTAACTCGAAAAACGAAAAATTGTTTTTGTATTTAGCCCTTGCCTATGCTACGAGCCACACACGTATATAAAATTTCATTTCCCATATAACGAGCAATTCCAACAACAAAGGAGCTCCGAGAGCAATGGGCTTGGGCACCCTTGCTTTATATGAAATTATTAAAGAGGACAGAAATATTTTGGATGGATTCATATTCTGTCAATCCTGGAAAACCATTTTAAAATATTTTCCAAAAAATACGTCCAATTTTAAGAGTCATAAGTGTTGCAAATCGCTTAAGAAGACAAAACTACTTAAAATGGTCACACCAGAGGAAAAAAAAAGCTATTGATGTTTGTGTGAACTAGTTATGTGGACTCAAGATTGCCAACTATTCTCAGAACTTAATGGAGTTGAATTTAAAAGACTATCACATTTTTTGATAAATATTCGAGCAAAATGTGGATATCGAAGACAAGCTGCCTGATCCAACTAAAGTTTCGCGGGCTACACAAAAAAAAGCCGATGAGAAAAGACTAATATTAAAGACAAGAAAGCCACCATTGTAAACAGTGGTAGAGCCACTGTTACTTTAGATTTGTGGACTGACAATTATGTACGTAGAAATTTCTAGACCACGTTTAATTAAATTGCAGCAGCCATTTGCTTGCCAACGTTTTATAACGATTTTTCAATGATTCCTTGGAGGTGTCCGAACTGGTTGGAAAGTGCAAACATACAGTATCAATTGGACACGACATTGAAAAATTCTTGCCCGTCACGCTGGAACTTTAACTAATCAATGTTTAAGTCTATTGTAGACAATTTTTTTGATATTAATGAAATTTTTAAAGAGAGGCAAGAAAGTCAACGATTGATGCAGATTGACATATCAACACTTCAACTAATAGTTGACCTATGCAGCAATTTTGAAGTTACATATGTATATTCAAAAAACTACAGATTTCCAGTTCCCCTTCATTATGATTCGAAATTAACAAAGTACGGCACCTATACGAACATTTAGGGACTGATGTACCCGCTATAATAGGATCAAAGGAAAACATCTTAAAAACGCTTGATACTACTTGGGCTACACATGCAACCAAATGATGAAAAAGATATAAAGCAATTTTGCATATCACAAATAAACTGCTTGGATATCAATCCGTCACCATTGCCTTCTCTTCCAGAACGTCCAAGTACACCAAAATCGGACTCAATGTCACAATTTTCATTTGAATCCAGTGAAAAGATGCGTTTTTCCTAGATGCAATAAAAGTGTCTACAGAAGAAAAAACTACTGTAAGGAAAATTATGAAATAACAGACGACTTTAATGTATTGCAACTAATGAAAAAATTTATCCAAAACTTTCTAAATTGGCACGGTAACTTCATTCAATCCCGGCTAGTAGTGCAGCTGCAAAACGGAAATTTTCATTGGGAGGAAACGTTATAATATATAAAAGAAACCGGCTTGGTCAAAAATCAGTTGAGAGCATAATTTAAAATCTTATCACAAAAGTTTTAAAAATTTTAATATAAATAATACACATACATGTATGTAATACAGATACACATGTATAAATACATAAATTAGAATAATGTTGAATGAATTATGAATACAAAATACAAGTACATAGTACATATGTACATATGTACTTAAAACAGTGGAGGTCAAAACGCACACATATGCGTTTGCAAAGTTTGGGCTGTTAATTCGGGGGTGAGTTTCCTCCTTTGCGTTTTCGCAAATGCGGGAACAGGATTTGCGGGAACTTCGCTCAACAGCTCATATTGGCACGAACGCCCATTTGAGCTGTTGGCCGAATGGGCTGATTATTTGTGTATTTTTTGCTGGGCGGAAGCTGTTCTCTGATACATTCACAATCCTTACTCGTCACATGTCTGTGTTACATTATTTTTCTGCTTGTGCCAAATAAGTTTTTTTAATGATTAACTTTATATCTAGATTTTTTTCGTCACCAAAATGTTTAATTCATAAATGGCATGCGTACGACATCACGGGTATTTTAACACGCGAATAGGATTTTTTATTTCAATGTCACTTGGTTTTTCTGTATACATAGCTGGTAATACATAGATCGTAAATACTTAAATGTAATTTATTTGGTTTTATTATACCCTTGCAGAGGGTATTATAATTTTGTCCAAAAGTGTGCAACGCAGTGAAGGAGACATCTCCGACCCTATAAAGTATATATATTCTTGATCAGGATCACCTCCTGAGTTGATATGAGCATGTCCGTCTGTCCGTCTGTCCGTCTGTCTGTTTCTACGCAAACTAGTCTCTCAGTTTTAAAGCTATCGTCTTGAAACTTTGCACACACCCTTCTTTCCTTTGCACGCAGTATATAAGTCGGAACGGCCGGGATCGGCCGACTATATCCTATAGCTGCCATATAACTGATTGATCGGAAATGGTATAACTTTGGTGTTTTTAGAGTTAGAGAGTTCAAATTTGACATGAGAGCTATTTTTGGCAAAATAATACGACATGCCAAATTTCATTAGGATCGGCCGAGTATATCCTATAGCTGCCATATAACTGAACGATCGGAAATGACCCAACTTTTGTGTTTTTGAAGATAGAAAGCTGGAACTTGGTACAGATTATATTTTGATCCATCCTACCAAATTTCATAAGGATCGGCCAACTATATCCGATGTTTGCGATATATATCCGGTTTTAGCTGCAAGGGTATATAAACTTCGGCTCCGCCCGAAGTTAGCTTTCCTTTCTTGTTTTTATTTGTTTTATTTGATTCAAGCTTTACTTCACTTGGGATTTTCTATTGATTTTGTTTTTGGCCGACTACATCATAAAACTCACCGATAGCCAACTTTGGTATTTTTTTTTTTATTTTGTAATTAAAAAAAATTTTGTTTACAATTAAACTAATATAAGGATGCCAATCCCACTATATCCGATCTTAACTGCAATGGTCTATGAACTTAGGCCCGTTAGACATATCCTTTTTTTTTAAATAAAAGTTTCTTATAATTCAGTAATACCTATCTTCAAATTTAAAAAAAGGGTTAAACAAAATAGGGAAAAAAGCAGAGTTAAAAACTTGACAACTTTTTGTACCCTTGCAGATGGCATTTTAATTTTTATTTTTTGATGCCAAACTTTTTATGTATATGGCTAATTTATATTAAGAAAACAAAATTCAAAAAAACAAATTAAATCGTCCTGTTTTTGGAGGAGTTACCTTCCGTTTCCTCTCGGAGACTAAATGGGATAGAACCAACTTGGAACACGGACTCCTATGGTATCCACAAAAACCAAGTTTTTGGTCAACATTTTGCACGCCTATTACCGCCCCCAAAACTGAAATCTATTTGTTGCGCCATTTCCAGTTTTGATGCCAAACTATTTTTAATTTTAACCTATGAATAAAAATTCAGCTGATTCGGACAATTTTTGGGGGAAGTTTTGATTGCTTCAGTTTTTATTTCCAAAGAATATAAAATTATATTAAGAATTAAAAACTTTTTTTTTTTTGAGACTTTAAGTTTAAATGTAAGTTGAAGTATGTGAAAGAGATAAGTATCATATAGTCGGAAAACTTGACTATAACCGTCCTCAAATATATTTTACTTCAGCTGCGACCGAAGTTAGCTTTTCTTTCTTGTTTATAATATTTTTTGTTGTATACATTTTGTTTAAACTTTGTTGTTTACCTGCTTTGTACCATACCTGCTGATCTGTAGAATCCGGTTCCTTGGCTTCAAAAGTTCCATAAGTCTCCGAATTTGGCTTAGAAGGTTCTTGATCTTTAAGATAAATCATGGATTGCGATTTTGATAGCAACCAAAGTGGTATTTCAGAAAAACTAGTTAAAGTTACAGCTACACAGGTGACAAAAATAACTGTTATTATTGAAAAAACAGCCTTTACGTGACCACCTAATCTCCTCCCTGGATGAAAAAGTTTAAAAAAAAACGAACAAAAAATAATATTTATTTGTAACATACCAATTTCAGTTTCGTCCCAGTTAAGTCCACTCATTGAGTATCCGAAAAATCCACCTAGTCCGGCCATAACTGTAAATGTTGATAGACCTTTTGCATGATCCTCAGGAACACATACATCTAAGAGATAAGCACGAGCAGGGCTTTGACATGCGTCTGCATCAAAGTCGAGAAGTACGGTTCCCAAAATAGTAAAAAATATTCCCCAAGGATGAGAATACGAGTTTTTAAGTTTGGAATCATGGTAATATTGATTCACATCTCCAAGCCAGTACCCCAAGCATTCTCCGTTGGGTACTAAAATAAGTCCTTTAAAAATAAACAACAAAATTTTTTAGTTACAAAAAATGGAAAATTTGTTACACACATGATGAGTACACAAAAAATGAGTACCGGATAACATATAGTCAGTAAATTCGATTAGAGCCGTTCACTTTTGTTCCATTTTTGTAGCGGTATGGGGCGTGGAAAAAATTTAAAGAAACCGCTACTGCCTGGGAATTATAGAAGACTCCATGCCGAATCTAATAGCTCGTTTAATCAGACAGACGGACAGTCGTTAATCTAGATCAGTGGGAGGCAAAACTAACACATGTTTAAAATTTGAGTGTGTGCGTAGCAGAGAAAAACAATGAGAGCAGAGAATTCACTGAGCGAAAAAAACGTATATTTTTATTTCATTTTTCGTTAATTCAAAAGTTGGAATGGGCACTAAAATGGAGTATTTTATTTTAAAAAAAGCTTTGCTAGCAACATTTCTTAAACAAATGAAAAACTACGCTTCATTATCTATATTCTCCACGAAAAAAACTTTTTCCAACCCAATTTCTGAATCAAAATAAGAGAGCTTCTAAAAAAATTTGAGAGTGCTCACACTGTCAGTGTGCCGGCAGCGCTGCGGCAGAATTTCCTACCCTATACTCGCGTGCTATGTAAAATGAGAGTTTTCCCACCACTGATCTAGATCATGAATGTACTTTTATATATGTATGTTGTATACATTTACTGTCACGAACTGTTTTGGTTGTTCTGCTAGCGTGGATAGGAACGTTACACCGAATTTATTTATTCGACGTGAACTGAAGTCGACCACTGAAATAACACAATATGATTTTATATATTAATGTCTTCTTTATTAGAGCACCTAGATCCGCTAATGCGGCTTCTCCGCCGGATCATTCGTCTATGCCGCCGGCGCTTCTTCACTCGTCCTTCACCAGTTGCCGTTCCGGCCTCTGACCCAGGCGTAGTCGACAAGATCGTCATCTTCCAGGCATACAGGATATGCAATCTCAGTGCCTGGCAGATAACATAAGGATTTGTGCTTTCGCCAACGGTCATCCCACACTCCTTAATTCGTGAAGGGCCTGAGAAATATGCGATTTTTGGGGGCGGGAGGGACATCTATCTCTTAGAGTCGCTAAGATCCATGCGTTCATACAGACAGACGGACATGGCTATATCGATTCGTCTGTTGATGCTGATCAAGAATATATATATTTGGGGTCGGATGCGTATATATGTGGGGTCGAAAATAATTCCTTCTCTATATTACATACTCTCACACTCATAAAATATACCCTGGTATTTTACGAATCTCAGATCTGGGTTCTGATTGCAGCCAACCTTAGGGCTAGATGGCAGAACCAACCTCCTTGAGCTTAGCAATTTGATCTTCCAAATGATCCTTAATCTAAGGGCGTAACAGCGAACCCAGGACATGTCCGCATCGTCAGCAATATCCCGGTCAATAACGACTGGTTCCCAGACTGTAAACACGATCCCCGAAAATATGAGAAAAGTGATATTAACAACAACATTAGCGACACAGCATAATAACCAATTGCATAACCAGCAAATGCAAAGGTAAAATAACAAAAACAAAATTTAAATCGTTTTTAATTGAATTTCAATTAATAATGTCTGGATTCGGTCCCTAAAATAATTTTTTTTTTTAACTCAACTAAATGTTTTAATTACATGGAAAACTCACGCGAGTATTGATTTCACGGGAGTACATCTCCAACAGACACACATTCTCGGCTAACAACTTCTTCAGATTCGTCCACCGCCACTGCAGAGTCTTTGCCGCATTCATCTCTCGATTATCTTTCTAGTTTTAAATATATGTATATAGTGAACAATAAATATAAGAACAGCAAATTGGTGACCCCTACGTGATCACTATATACACGCGAATACTGGTGCTTACAATGGCGAAAAACGACGCCCCACAAGACGACGCCGACGTTTTTCACGATACTGTTACTCGCGGTTTTGACGCAGTTATCAACCGTGTAGCTGTGAAAATACCGCCGTTTTGGCCCGAACACCCAGAATTATGTCTATCACAAATTGAAGCCCAATTCGTTCTGGCGGGAATAACCTCGGACGAAACGAAATTTAACACAATCCTAGCGTCAATCGAGGCACACAGGCCGAAATTGCCGACGCCATCGTCAACCAATCACGCACAGGCAAGTACGAAAAGTTGAAGTCGTGCATTCTGGAAAGCTTCTGCGAAAGCGAACTTCGTGTGGACCTTTATAATAGCTGACGTCAACTGCGCTATCATCGGATCCGTCTTTCTTCAACATTTCGACTTACTCGTCGATAAGAAACGACGCAAACTCATCGATCGGGTACGCTGCTGGAATCAAAATGTCACGCGCCTCAACGTAAAATCAACGCGATTTTATCCTACGACACGAGTAACCAATACGCTACATTGCTTCACGAATATCGCGATCTCGCAACGATCAACTCGAACCAGCTGCCAGCAACGTCCGAAGTAACGCACTTCATCTCGACCAACGGCCCGCCTACTCACGCCCGCGCCCGACGACTAGCGCCCGACAAACTCAAAGCTGCACAATCCGAGTTCTTCTACCTCATCGAGAAAGGAATATGCCGTCCCTCAAATAGCAACTGGTCCAGCCCTCAACTGCACCTGGTAAAGAAAGCAAATGAAACCGAGCACTGAACAACGGAACAGTGCCGGATCGATATCCTATTCCGTACATGCTGGACGTAACGAGCATCTTATACGGTAAGAAGATATTTTCAAAAATCGACCTGCAAAAAGCATATCACCAGATTCTTGTCGAACCACAAGATATTCCCAAAACAGCAATTATCACGCCTTTTGAGCTGTTCGAATTTTTGTTCATGACGTTCGGTATGCGCAACGCAGCGCAAACTTCTCAACGTCACATAAACGACGTCATACAAGGCCTCGATTTCGTTTTTGCATACATCGACGACATTCTGATCGCTTCAGAATCCGAGGCGCAGCATGAGACGCAGGCAGCACGCCTTAAAACCATCCGAAGCCGAAATGGAAGCCGTTGGGCACTTCAAAAAACCGCTTATCGCTAAAGACCTAAAAAAGTTTCTGGGTATGATTAATTTCTATAGGCCGTTTATCCCACGAGCAGCCGAGAACTATCACATACTCCAAACGCTGATCCAAGGCAATAAAAATAACGACAAAACCCCGATACTTTGGTCTACAGAAGCCGACTACGCACTCACCGCCTGCAAGAACGAGCTTGCAAACGCTACGTTGTTGAACTACATGGCACCAAACTCACAATTAACGCTAACCACCGATGCATCCGACGACGCTATGGGTGCCGTAGTACATCAGATCATCAACGGGCAGACACAACCACTGGGATTCTTCTCCAGGGAATTCACATCGACGCAAAAGTAGTACAGCACCTACGATAGAGAACTGACTGCTATCTATCAGGCCATTTTGCACTTCAAGTACGCACTGGAGGGCAGAAATTTCATAATTTTCACCGACCACAAGCCGCTTATGTATGCCTTCAGTCAAAACAGCGAGAAAGCATCACCTCGACGCGCTCGGCAACTGGATTTTCTAAGCCAATTCAGCACCGATATCCAGCACATCTATGGAGAAGAAAACAACGTGGCTGATTTTCTATCACGCATCGATGCCATCAAACACATAATCTTCGACGAGATGGCATTGGAACAGGAAAACGATGCGGAACTACAATCGCTACTCAATTTTGACGTCGAAAAATTGTCGAAATTGTCGTCGAAAAAAACAAAATTGTCTCTTTCAGGCTCAAACAAGCAATTGTACTGCCACGTCGCCAATAACCATACACCTCCGTTTGTTCCCAGATGCCTACGCCAAACCGTGGTTGAGGCCCTACATTCGCTGAGTCATCCGGGAGGTAAGGCAACGAACAAGTTGGTCGGCAAACACTACGTTTGGCCTCGCATGGCGAAGGATGTCGCTAAAATCGTACGCTCTTACATCCCGTGCCAGAAGGCCAAAATCCAACGTCACACTAAATCGCCACTAGGAGAGTACACCGCCAGCGACGCCCGTTTCGAACACATAAATACCGACATAGTTGGCCCACTGCCTTCATCGAACGGATACCGATACTGTATCGATCGTTTCTCAAGATGGCCCGCAGCAATTCCTTTAGTAGACATCACAGCACAATCTGTAGCCAACGCACTGATTTCGGACTGCACTGAGTTCACCGAGGTTCTTCAAAAAACCATGTCTCAACTGCCAACCACTAAGCCAGTGCACTATGGGGTTTTTGACCACTTTATGTGGCATTGAATCATATTTTGAAAGTTCTCTGATTTAAAAAAAATTAATGGGAATGTATTAAGAAAACATCAAACTATTATGCCTCATACTCAAAATGTTAATTCTTAACAACATATGTTGCATCCGAAAGTACGTGCGCTAAGTTTGCAATTTTCACATAGTGATCTTTGAAATTAGGTTATTTGTTTAAAACTCCATTTAAAAAGAAAAATAGTAATGGACACTGATTTCACAGGTTTGTACTACATGTTAAATGTATTAACTGTTTAAATTGTGCGTGTCTATACTAAAATTTTGTCATTTTATAGATGCACCTTAAGCTGAATTTTGGGAAACTATGGATACACCAGATCCAATTATTTCGTCCTTAATTTATCAAGATGCATAAAAAACTAAAGAGTCTTTTACTTCCAATTGAGGTAATTGAGATGCTTTCGTACGAATACGAAAATAACGAATGGTGCAGTGACCAGAGAAAAATGGGAAGAGTCACTGGATTATGAGGAATTGCCGCTGTGGTCCGATTTCGAAAAAATATTAAATCGTAGGTACCAGCACCTGTCCGCTGAAGTGACTGGCAAGACAAAACAGGAAAAAACTGGGTTCGGAAAGCAGCACAATAGGAGTTCGTTAACTTGCTCCGCTTCCAACAAACAAGCTTGCAGTTATCGCAACGCACAAGACCATAGTCTTGCCCAGTGTA